GCTCCCGATCTGTAGTAGACAAAAGGCTGGGCACACAGCAGAATCAGGATCCAAAAACCCACAATGGGACAGTGATGGGCTGAGCACAGCAGGGGAGGTCGCACACGGTTCACCAGAAGGCCCCTGACACACAGAGTGCTGGTTGGCCTACAGTTGCCAGTCTACTCTTTCTCTATAGTAACAGAAAATCTATTCCATCCATGGGAATAATTTCTGGCCCATGAAATGTAAGCAGAAGTGTTAGGTGGAACTTCTAGGAAGACCGATGAAAGAACTGACTTGGCTTGGGAGGTGCCTTTTGACCCTTCAGCCTTTTCTCTGTCTTGTGGCCTGTGATGGATTTGAAGGAGCCTGTGCAGCCACCTTGGACCGCACTGTGACCTTGAGGGAGGAAGCCTGGCACGGCCAATGGTGGTGGAGCAGGGCTGGAGCTTGTGCCCCTGATGATACTACAGCAATCTTGGGCAGTTCACACTTGGATGTCTGCCACATGGTACAATATTAATGTTTCTTGGATAGAGAACTGAATGTCTATTCTGTTGAAGCTGCTGTTACTTTTGGTCTCCATTTCCTTCAGCTCAGCACAATTCCTACCTGTTATGGGTTGAACTGTATCCCTAATAATGTATGTTGACCCTCAGTACCTGTGAAGGTGGCCTTATTTGGAAATAAGAACTTGGCAGATAAAATGAGGTTAAGGTGAGATCAGACTGCATTAGGCTGGGCCTTTGATTCAATATGATTGGTGTCCTAAGAAGAAGAAAAGATACGGAGACACACAGGCAGAAGATGGCCATGTGACTACAGATGCAGAGACTACCGTGATGCATCTATAGGTCAAGAAATGCCAAGGATTACCAGACACCAGAAAAAGAGGAAAGGATGAAAGAAGTTGGAAAGGAAGGCTAGGATCTACTTTGTGGTAAGAGACGCTGTATGTAGAATTGAGCAATTTCTGCATCAAGGAACAAGCACAATGTAGTCACAACAGAAATCCAAAGGACCCTTCATCGTAAAACCCAGAGCCTACTGGAGGGTAACCAATGACCACATACAAATGTTTAAGACTTCCCACCATGGTTCTAGGGTTCTCTTCCTGCACAACTCATGGTTACTACCTTAAGAGATCATAATTACTTTCCTATTTTCATCTCATGCAGAAACAAGCCACTCCCGGGTAGCTTGACAACATCCTCAGCTTCCCCAACCTACTTATCAAATCAACAGTTCATTTGGCCATAGCCATTTTGAAATTGTAACACATAATGATTGTAAGTTCATTATTAAAACCCTGCCTTGAAGGCCAGAGTCCAGTATGGTACACGCGTTCCCTCATAAAAGTCTTCAACAGTTTTACAACTGAAGATAATGTGAGAAACACTAGAGCTGCCCCAAAGTAGGACTAGAAATCATTTTACTGCTTTCCTCTTAAGTGGCCTTCAAGAAATTTAGTTGAATCAACAACTGAATAAGAGCTCCAGCACAGCACTCCTGCCGCAGGCGCTGCACGATTGTACAACTCATTTCTACCACGGCCCAGGGAGTCTCACGTAGATGTTGTCTCATCTCCACATCAAGAATGGAAATGTTAGTGAGAAAATTTTAACTTAGTGTGAAATCTTAGTTCTATAATGAAAACAAAACAAAACATGCATTCTATTTTTTGGTGAACTACATAATACAGGATCCCCAGTGGGTTCAGCTCACAGCCATACAGATCTGGCTACTTTAAGAAGTCAAAACCATGTCCTTCAATAGGGAGATGTTAAAATATTTTTTTCTCTGACTTGGTTAAGTTCTGTCTCTATCAGCAGTGTGGAAAAGGGTTCTATGCATTTAGGGACTTACGTATGCCGCAAAGTTTTCATTCCTGTATTTATTTGCACTTTCTGTGTAGCAAAAAATAACCAGCAATTTCTATACTGTAAAATTCCCATGAACGTAAGAAAACTTTACTGATTTTAAAAGAGAGATGAGCAGAGAGACACATCTAAAACCCTGGGAACAAAATTGTCCCTGCTTTCTTCTCATAACTTTGGCAACATGAGGCAGAAGAAGAGCCAGCTTTCATACTCCAAGTCAATTCTGGAAAGTACTCAAGCCAACTGCAACCCAGGACTAAATGAGAGTAGATTTATTTCGTGAGGATGAGATTGGCACAGTAAGAGGCAAGTGCTTTACCCTCAAACTTGAAAGTGTCTTAATTCCCCACCAGTTAAGCCCTAGGAAAGCAGTGCTTTTGTCAAAATGGGTATTTATAAACGATTATTTTTGCCCACAGATATCAATTTTATATAATTTAGGTAATGTTAAACTAGGTTTCTAAATAAGGACATGTCCTGTTCCTTGATATATATACCACGCACCTAGCAAAGTGCCTAAGATATAGGTGTTCAATAAATAATTCTGAAATAAAAGTAATAGATGATTGAGACATGGCAACCCAGAATTTAAAAACCAGATAAGCATAATACTGCAAAATTAACACCTTGGAAGCCCTATGATAATTATAATGATCCTGCCCATCACACCACTGATTATGGAATTTCTCTGGAACTACAGCAGGTCCTCGAATAACACTGTTTTGTTATAACATCGATTAGATGCCATAGGAACGTCACTGTTTATGTCAATCAGCCGATGGTAAAACTGGCTTGGTTACACATCGTTTCGCTTAAAAGTCACAAAACCTATTGACTATGTTAAGTGAGGACTTACTGTATCTCTGGAAAGATGTAGCTTTTTCCTCCTACCAGGAAAGCCTAGGAACCTCATAAATAGAATTAAGAAATTCCTCACTCGTCGCTAGCAGCTCAAAATGAGCTGCAGAAGAATGGGCTCAGTCCACTGTCAAGGTCCCTGTGAGGAGCGGCTATGGGCAGTATCACCAGCCAGGATGCTGTGAGCCTCCAGTTATTCCCAAGGGTCATGTTCTGAGCTGCAACATGACCCAAGGAGCTAAGCTATAAAAGCTTCTCCCTGGGAAGACTAGCTGGTAACTTTAAGAAATGCCTGTCTAAAATGCCACTGTTTTTGAGGACAAGGGTATGAAGGGAAAAAAATATTACTTCAAAATGCCTGTGTTGGTTCACTCACTTAAAAAAGATAATAAATGATCAAAGATAACCTGATGTATTAAATCACTGCCAGTAACATCATCAACGTGTATTAGGTCACCGATCTACTGCTATACGCTTTCCTTTAACTTTCACTAAGAATGCGATCATAAAACTGGCTGACTTTCTAAGAAATAATTCAATTTTCAATGAACCTCACTTGATAAGCTAGATGTTAAAGGCTCCAAGGCAGCATGGGTTCTTGAAGCAAGGCGATTCCCCTGGAGTCTACAATTGGATTGATGACTCATACTAAATAGATACACTCTTGTTCTCTTTCTGCACGTGTGGATGCAAGTCTTGCGATGAGACTGACGTAAAGTGAATTTGCCATGACAGCTAACTCTCCTTGGTGTTCTGTATTTTTCAAAAAAAAAAAAACCCTACATTCTCCTTTGTTAATTATCAAAGATCTGCAAAATTAGGCAAGGAACATTTTGTACATATCAAATGAGTTAAACATAAATGAATAATAATGTTCAAATGCTTCAAAGGTGGTGGTAAAACTGGTCCACTCATCAAGATATGGACTGGTTACGGTGTTAAGTTGGATAACAAACCCAGAAAGCAATTTGGCAATGCAACTCATGACCATATTGTATTTATGCATTTTGATATGGACCATCAATAAGAATTTAGCCTAAATAAATATTTCAAATAGCAAAACATAAGCAGGAAATTATTAGTTACAATTTTCTAGTAAAGTGACAGTTAAAAGTAGCCTAAAATGCCCAAATGAGAGGGTTGGTCAAATTGGCATTTAAAAATTTTGGGACTGAAAATTAAGTGGCAACACAGACAGGTGCTTGACAGAAAATAAACATGAGGCAAAAGTGTATTTTCATTATGACTGAAAATACGTAAAACATCAATGTGAACAGGCAAAAGGACAAGGGAATATACAACAATCGTGGCAGCCATTTGTAGTTTCTGACTAGCTAACTTTTGTGAAATGACAATATATTATCTTAAATATTTTTCTAAAACTAGCCTGTGTAGCAACCATGTCTAGAGAAAAGATTTCAAATCAAAATTTGGTTAAAGAACCCTGCCTCTGTGTTTACCAAAAAAAAAAAAAAAAAAGGTAAAAAACCAACAGGTGTTCTATTTTCACTCTCTTCCCACCGAAATCCTTCCAAATCCCTGGACCAGATAAACGTGGAAAGTGAGGCGCGCACAGCTCGGTTTGGCGAGGCAGCCTGTACAGGCTCTGGGATGTCTGCGCCAAGCCTGTTTCACTTTGGCGAGCCCACAGTTTGCTAGATGTCCCTGAGGACAATACCCGCTCTGCATAGGAGACCGTCAGACACTCCTCTCCCCACAGTTTGGGAGATGGTGCTGGGGCTGATGATGGTCAAAGGAAATTATCAGGAAGGTGTTTCCAGACCATGTGCTACCCAGCTGGGAGTCACTAATGACAGCCTGCCTTCTCCTTCAGGTGTGTGCATTAAGGTAGAGAAAAAACCTGCCAACTACTGATCTGTGCTGCTACTTAGAAACAATGGAATGCCATACAAATACACCCTTTAGGGGACTGGTCTGGGAGGTTTTCTGGCCCTTACAAAAGCGGTTCTGATCTAGTCTGAAGACAACAGCCAGTTTCTGCAAAGGAATTGGTTATGTGTCCTCTGTAATTATGAAGTGGCAACGAAAGAAATCTGAGCAACCCGTATGAGAATGTTTCTCTTTTAGACATAAACACAGCATTGCTTATAACATGAAAAAATTAAGCTTATTTTTTTAAAAATGTGTGTGTGTAGTAGTAGGATGTCTCTACCAAGCAAATACCAAGTATCTACTTCCTAGAGCTAAGAAATGGGCAAACACAGCTCCCCCACGCCCTGACACACACAGTTCCTTTAGCATTATTTATGCCACCGTTACCTCTGGTCGAAGCGTAGCTTTCATGCAGACTTGGCAAAGAGGTCCATTTCGGGAGAACTGAAGGGGAAGGTGCCGAATTCGATTCCGACATGTTGGCTCCTCACAGATCAACCAGCCCTGCAGAGGAAAGAGGGAACACTTCAGTCATCTCGCCACCATCACAGACTTGAACAAAAACCCCTTCGTTATTCAGACAGACAGATCGCAGTCCAGCCCTCCTTAAGAGATTCTGAAATAGCTCCTTACCTTTCTTCCCTGATGTGTTCACTTGATCTATGCCCCAAACTTAAAAGTTAGGTAACTTGCCAGGTATTACAAAAAGAAAGGTTACGCGACATGTTATTCTCTTTTCTTCAAGTATAACTCTCTGCACAAAATATATCTTCCGATAAAAATGTCTATGATTACACATAGATGCAAACCAAGGGGTTTTAGTTCATTAGGACAGACCACTGCCAAAGTATATACCACATAGAAATAAATGACTTTCCCAACAGCTGAGTAACTATTGATTACTTAATTGCGGTGATCAGTTTCCTTCTCTGTGAAAAGAGCGCAACAGTACTTGCTCTATAGGTTTGTGGTGGTTGTGATGTAATACATTCAGAGTTATCAGAACTACACTTGGCTTAGAAACACTGACAAAGTATAACCAACACTTTCACGTAAATCAAAACACATGTTTCTAAAATTTTATTTATTTATTTTCAGAGAGAAGGGAAGGGAAAGAGAGAGAGAGAGAGAGAGAGAGAGAGAGAGAGAGAGAGAATGAAACATGGATGCAAAAGGGAAACATCAATCGGTTGCCTCTCATATGCATCCTGACCAGGGACCGAACCAGCAACCTAGGCATGTGCCTTGACCAGAAATCAAACCAGCAACCTTAATGCTTTGCGGGATGGCAATCCAATCAACTGAGCCACACCAGTCAGGGCAAACCACACTCCTTTACACACATTCTCTGGAGGCATAAAACTGGCTGCCATGTTTTCAAGGACAACATCAACTGACCACTCTTTTCCAGTCATTTCAAATAGTCACTGCTCACTCCTCTGTGCACTTCCCTCCTCAGTTACTCTCCTTTGGTGCTCTTGTGTGAATTTTCTCATAGAGATGTGACAACAATATGCCCATTACCTTAAATCAGCATTGTTTGCTATAAAACATACCTGTTAAACCAGAAGACGAGACTTCACAGATGGAGTTGAGCAAAACTCAGGTGCTATGGGGGTTTTAGTGTTACATGCATTAGGCATAATAAGCCTAAGGCAAATTAGGGGGTATAAAGGTGTAGATATGTTCCTTTGTTGCATGGGTCCCCACTCAAGAAGCTGCAAGCAGGGAGGTGACTGTCTTTGGGTCTTAGAGTGTTTGGTGAGGCGGAACTTCTGAACTGGTCTGGAAGAGTAAGTAGAAATTTGGTAGGTAGAGAAGGCAGGTAAGACAATTTAGGCAGAGACACCATGTGTGAAAGAATGAAGGCCAGAGAGAGCTGTGTACAATATGATGAAGAAAGGCACCAGTGAGCCCTGGCTAGTGTGCCTCAGTTGGTTGGAGTGTAGTTCTGTAACGGAAAGGTTGCAGGTTTGATTCCCAGTCAGGGCACACGCCTAGGTTGATGATTTGCTCCACGGTCTAGGCGTGTACAATCCCCAGTCTGGGGGCAACCAGAAGGCAACCAATCAATGATTCTCTCTTACATCGATGTTTCTCTCTCTCCCTTCCTCCTTCTCTAAAAGCAATGAGAGGAAAAAAAAAAGGCCTCAGGTGTGGATTAAAAAAAAAAAAAAAAGGCACCAGTGACATGTTTAATCATATGCCCTGTTTCTAGACTGAGCAACCTGTTGGCTTTCTTCTCCTGAGAGGACAGCAGTATGTATACAATTGTTGCTTAATTACATGAGGGACCTTCACCTGCCATTTATTAATATGGCCACAGAGCATTAATCCAAAGCTGCAGGATGTCCCCATTTACTGCTGTGCTGAAGAACCTCATTCCTCAGAACAGGCTCCTCTTGGAAGTAGCTACAACCAAACTCAAGGGAAAGCGCTCCAAATCAGTTCTTCCAGCTCCATTTATGACTTTTCCGCCCAGAGAAAGTGCAACATAAAAGTTTTGACTAAAACAAAATATGCTACCTTTCAAGAATATAATATTCATCTAGTCAATACATTCACAGTAAGCTTCATTCCTACTTTCAGTCAGGCTAAACTACTAATATTTAAGTTGAACTTTTCAGGTGTAGGGTCTCAAGGAGTCCTTATGAAGTCTTTACCATATTCCCAGAATTATAGTTAATACTGTGGAGAAGAGGCAAAGAGCCCTCAGGTAGAGTTTCAGGGAATTACAATCTAAATAGGAAAACAAGGTCCATACACACAAAGAAAAAGCAATTCAGTATGGTTTGGCTTTAAAGAGCAAGCTGTATGCTACCAACTATAAATGTTGCATAGCACAGAGAATGGATGGAATCGTGTGGGTCCTACCTATCTTAGACAAACAACTACTAAAAGGACGACAAACTAGAATAAAGAATCAATGGTTCTGAGTCACAGGCAACTGTTTGTTACAATTCTTAGGGTCTAGGACCACATTTTCTTGATTTAATGGCACATTTTAATATTTCCAAAACTCAGATGCATTTACAACTGACATGTACATTTAATCACGTACTTATATTTCTTTCAAAAAAGCTGTTAAGAGTGCAGCTCACAATTGATGGTCCCTCAGAATTAAAGAAACAAGATACTTTGATTTAGGCTGTTCTAGGTATGTAGAATACAGAGCGGAGCAGTGGGGCTGATAGTTGAAACTAGCTGTTTCTGGCATATTAAGGAGACAGTAGGCGTCAAGCAAACTATGTATGAAAAATGTAGGACTGGATGACTCCTTTATTATTCATTTGTATTTGTTACATTATATTTGCTATCTGAGACTTTACACACTTCGGAATGTGTATCAGTAACAGTGCCAGCCATAGCTGTAATTAATTCAATTTCAAACATAATTTTCAACAAGTAAGCAGACAGGTAACAACTATCATGTTCTGAGACAATAAATTATTAAGCACTAGAACACAGCCTGGAAGTTAAAACTATTTTTAAAATATAATGCTCAATAAGCTAGTTCTTTTCAGATGTTACTGAAACTTGATTCCATCAATTTACTACAACTTCATGACTCACTAGGTGAGCTGCCAACCACGGAGATGCTAAATTGTCACCTCACCTGTTTCTAAAGCAAACATCTAACTCTATCTCTGACAGAGTTACTAACTAAATGTCCTTTCAAATCATATAAAAAACAGATAATATAATTTGTCTAGACTTCCTACCAGTTATAATTAACATTAAAGAGGTCTTTTCTTCTTTGTCACCTCTCTCTATTCAGTACTTATTTGGGTTTGTTTGTACTTACTATCTGTTAATCTCCCTTTACAAATGACAACAATAACTCATGCTATTATGCATGGAAATTAAACATGCTGATAACTGTGAAGGGAACTGGGGCTGAAAAAATATTAAAGCCTGTAACTCTTTATGCTTCTTGTTTTATTTTGATAATTAAGCTTTTGGTCGTGGTCTATTTTAAACAAAACTCTTCTATGGGGGAAATAGGCCCTAATCATGTTCAATATATGCTTTGCTTCCGTTCACCTTAGTTAAGTACATTTTGGTTAACTCTTTGTTCCCTCAACAAATAATAACTGACTATACTAAATCTGTCTTTCAAAGAACATTTTTGTTGTTAAAAAAATATGTCAGGCCTTTGAAAATATTCCATGATGGGGCAAATTGTGCACTGCAAGATCTCATTGTGAATTTCACCTTTCGTGAGTGTTAAAAACAAAAGAAATGAAAATATTAGCACCGTATAAATTCACTTTCAATTATCACTCACAGAGACAAAACTAAACTAATTTTCATTTCCCACGCTGGGAAACAACGTACAGCCCAAAACTATGTTGCCAAGTCAACAGAAGAAAAAAAAAGTTTTAATAAAGTGTAGTTCTTTGGAAGTACAACCTATAATAAGGTTTGGGCTTTTAAAAAAAGAAAGTATTTTTATGTATTTTCAAAGACAGGGGAAGGGAGAGAGAAACAGAGGAAGAGAAAACAACGATGTGAGAAAGAAACATCGAATGGGTGTCTCCCGTACACACCCCAACTGGGGACTGAACCTGCAACCCAGGCATGTGCCCTGACCGGGAATTGAACCAGTGACCGTTCACTCTGAGGAATGACGCCCAACCAACTGAGCCATACTGGTCAGGGCGAAAGGTTTGGGCTTTAATAAAAACCTCCATAATCACTAAGGATGTTGTCTACCATCCAAATATGTCATTTTATTATGCAATGCCACATCAAAGTGCCAAACTGCTATAACCCACAGAAATAAGGCCATTAACATACTCTGTATATTTTATATTTTCATGTACATATTTCTGCATCTCTTTTTTATGGACATACAAATTGGGAGGTTTGCAGAAATAAAAATATTCTGAATTATATACACGTGTGTATGTGTATATATAAAAGAAATAAGAAAAAAGAAAAAATATATATATATATATAAATAAAAGAAATAAGGTCATTAAGTTTTCAGATGACTACCAAAACCATGTTTATAAGTAGATGGTTCAAAAGAGGTGAAGCCAGCCTGTCCAAGAGCAAGGCAAAGATTTTCCAAAACGTGCAAAGATCTATCACCTGCGGTTTTAGTCTCAGCATCACTAATTCCTTGAAATCATTGTGTAGGAAATTGTGTCACATGCCGATTGGTTCTGATTGCTAAATTATATTTCTGAGGCCTCAACTAAAATGTTTCTGTCTGCACATGCTACAAAGGGATCGATTTCCACTTGTAACTGAGGCATTCCTGTTAGTTGTCTCTTAAACACAGACTGCTATTCATTTGTGTATGTTTGTGGGCTTAGAAGGGCACACGCACAGAAACCACCTAGACCAGGAAATGTGATGCGTCGAAGGCGCTCAAAAATATCTTTTCAATGCAGTGGTGGCCCCTTATCCGTGGTTTTGCTTTCCGTGGTTTCAGCTTCCCCACAGCCAACCCTAGTCTGAAAACATTCAATGGAAAATTCTGGAAATAAACAATT